TTAGGATATAAAACACTTCTAGACAAATAACTTTGCAGACAAATAAGAATGAATCTTCCAAGGAGTTTCACACTGCCTGAATTGGGATGCACACAGATATATGTTACTGATAGGTAAGATTTTATAAAGGGAACTCCTTGTAACTTGGCCCTGGTTCATTAGGCTAAGCAGAAGGGAACAGTGGCAGAGTGACTTAGCTGGAATAGGGGTAGAGAGACGTGAGAGATGTGAGACATGTGCTGAGTGATGGCAGCATGCCCACATCATGCCCACATCATGTCCACATCATGTCCACATCATGATGTCCACATCATATCCACATCATGCCCACATCATGCCCACATCATGTCCACATCATGCCCACATGATTCCCACATGATTCCTACATGATTCCCACATCATTCCCACATCATATCCACATCATGCCCACATCATGCCCACATCATGCCCACATCATGCCCACATCATTCCCACATCATGCCCAAATCATGACCATATCATGCCCACATCATGTCCACATCATGCCCACATCATGTCCACATCATGACCACATCATGTCCACATCATGCCCACATCATGCCCACATCATGTCCACATCATGATGTCCACATCATATCCACATCATGCCCACATCATGCCCACATGATTCCCACATGATTCCCACATCATATCCACATCATGTCCACATCATGCCAACATCATGCCCACATCATGCCCACATGATTCCCACATGATTCTTACATGATTCCCACATCATTCCCACATCATATCCACATCATGCCCACATCATGCCCACATCATGCCCACATCATTCCCACATCATGCCCAAATCATGACCATATCATGCCCACATCATGCCCACATCATGCCAACATCATGTCCACATCATGCCCACATCATGTCCACATCATGATGTCCACATCATATCCACATCATGACCACATCATGCCCACATCATGCCCACATGATTCCCACATGATTCTTATATGATTCCCACATCATTCCCACATCATATCCACATCATGCCCACATCATGCCCACATCATGCCCACATCATGTCCACATCATGCCCACATCATGCCCACATCATTGCCCACATCTTGCCCACATGATGCCCACATCATGCCCACATCATGCCCACATCATGCCCACATCATGCCCACATCTTGCCCACATCATGGTGTGTGGTGTTTGGTTGACTTGGGCTTGCATTGCCTTAAAACTATGTAAACTGATAACCAGCTGACTGCTTAAAAAGACAATAAAGCCAAAGGTTTTTGGCAATACAGAGCACTCCTCTGCACCTGTCTGGGGTCCCTATGTCACTCATTACCGCAACAGATCCTCATGGATATCCCCATGCATGTCCTGAAAGGAGGCTGAGATAACAGTAAATAGATCACATGGAAAGGGGAGAGCTAAATAGAAGTGATTTGAGCTGCTGAAACAAATGATACCCTTACTACATCTTTAGTTTCAAAACAGTACATGACATTAAAAAAAACACATATATATATATATAACTCTATATATAACAATATTGGACTTGACAACCTTCAACATTAGCAAATGTCAGAGGATATTTGATGGTTGTGTAGAATTTCTTCTACCTTGTATTATTTGCTTGACATATTTAAGCACTTTAGATTTCTCCCATTTGAATACATTTTTATTTCTGCGATATTAATTCAGCCCTTGTCTGTTTTATATGCTGTCCTCTCCCTAAAAATCCATTTTGTTTTATGGACTCTGATATCGAATGCATGTGTGATAGGGAAACCAGGGACAGGACTGGAGAGGGATAAGGAAGCAACAATTTTTTAATTTAAAAAATTTTAAACCTACTAAAATTTCTTTTTCTTATCCCTATAGTCAGATACATTAGCTGGTCCACTATTATTAAATATGTTTCCCTTACTAATTTAAGTATCCCTTTAATGTCAGTTTGTACAGTGTAAGCAAAAACATTATTTACATTAGTGTTTACAAGGTGTGATAAACACACAAACCCTACCAGTAGAGGCATCAACTACAACTTACTGTAAGTAAATAATGAGAAGGAAGAGTTGCTCCCTGATGCATTGATGCGGGTTTCAAAGAGACTTAATGAGACATACACCTGCCAAACACTAATGTGCAAGTTAAAAGACATGGGAAGTGTGTTTAAATTTCCTCCATGAAAATGGTCAGACTGCCTTGCTCATTGCTCACATACAAATATGTGCACGTAAAAAAAAGAAGGTGAAAGGGGATGATTACAAAGCTGTTTGATCCAGGTCTGTTCCAGTGTTGAGGAATAGGACATGTTTTTTCCTCTGCAAATTGGTATCTGATTCTCCTTCAGACAAAACAACTACACATTTATCTTTTTAGCATTCACTGGAAAGTAGTTTCATGCTCAGCCAGAAGAATTTCCTTATAGCTCTTCATTATAATTTGTTTCTTCTGATCACCTGCCAGTCTCACTTATCAACAAAGATAATAGGTTCTATCACTGGGGTCTAGGTACCAAAATCAGCAGGGCTGTAGTAATAATTAAGGGGAACAACACCACTGATGCACACACAGTTCTTTATCTCAAAACTCACAACCCCTGTGCACAGCCCCAGTTGTAACATAGCAATATATTACTCTCCTTCACTATGGGACATTGAGGCCAGGGGACCATGGAAAAAAATGCTTTCTTAATAGCACATGCACAATTTGACATTAGGATGTTATTCTGCCAGACAAGCTAATGGGTCATATAAGTGTCAGAGGTATTACCAGCTACAATTATCACTTGCTTAACACAGCACATTTCCCAAAGACCTGCCTTTCCACTTCAAGGGGAGCCTTATGCCTGCCAATCCACAGCCAAAGTTATCACCTAATTAAACAAAGGTAAAACAGTCCTGATGATCTGGGAACTGTTTGATTTAACTACCAAACTCAGGTCTCCAGCATCATTTTGAACATCTTACTGCACCATGCTTGGCCTCCTGCTGCAGGTTTCCTGCAAGCCCTCTGTCACATCTGCCAGCTCCTGCAGGTGTCTCAGGTACTCAGTGGATCAGCTGTCTCAAACCTTGACAGCTGTGTTAAACTGGAGCTTAATGCCACCTTATAGGCTGATTTTAATGATATTGGCAAGATTCACAGGGTATTAAATTGAGATTGGTGTTAGTACTAGTTATCAGAGGTCAGAGGTGAAATACAGAGTTCCAGGGACCTGAGTGAACACCCAGATTCTGATTGTTCTGGCCAGCCTGAAAACATCTGTAATCTTCCTCTACAAACTCTCTCCTTATTTTCAGCCTGGCTGTTTAACTGATTGTGTTCAGTCAACTTTAATATAACTTTAATATAATGCAGCTGCATGACTCTAGAGGAGGCTTAGGTGGAAACAACTAAGTTGTGAGAAAGCTGTGTGGAAAACCTTATCCAGGGTATTGACCCTTTCTGTCCCCTCTGTCCTGTCCAGGAGCTGCATTTTAGTCCAGCCCTTGCCCTTGGCCTTTGTCTGAACTACACTGCACGTATGTCCATGGCTGGCCTAGCACTTTGCAGATCCTGACTTGCTGTCTTGAACTCAGAGCTGGCTCATCGTTTGGTCTAATGTGGTGACTGCTGCTTTGTTCTGGTTACTGTCAACAGAGCTGCTCTGCTGTCCTGGTTTGGGTACTGTGGGACTGTGCTCCTTGTCTTCCAGAGCACTGCTCTGCTTTCCTGGCTGTCACCTCCACCCCATGGCTCCCCTCCCCTTCCAGAGCTGCCCACTTTCTGCCAGCCAACTCTCTGACATCAGGTGTAAAGGACTTGTCCATTTAAGGTTCTGGAAAGCATCTGATGTGTGTCACAGGCTACTGCTTCTGATTAGAGCAATATATTTGTAGAACAGACTCATGAAAGTGCTTATATCTAGTAAGAAAACAAAATTATTTAGGATCCTGCCACATCTGTGCACTCTTTCTCGTTTTCTTGTTGCTACATGGCAAGCACAAACATGTAGCAGGATATAGATTAAATAGTGTTAAAATATCAAGCAGTGACAGTTTTTCTGAAACCAAACTTATCACTTGTGGTGACACCTTGTGCTTTGCCTTTCCTCCACAGAAACTCACAGGAGAGGAAGGGAGTATCACAAAGTCAAAGCCTAATCCTGAAGAAAGAGGTAGGCCACTGCTAATGTCTGACAGTGGCCATGAAAAGAGACATGGTGGAGCTTAGAAAGGACATTGGCAAATCTTGGCCGCTGAAAATTTAAATCCTTTCCAATAGAATTAGTCTAGTCTAATTCTGTTCTATTCAAATCTACTGTAACTGCCTTTGTTTAATAAAAATTTGCATTACATTTGGTCAAATTTGCATTTGACCAACTGACAACATTTGACAGAGCAATTTTACCATCTATTTTACACCTATAATATCAGTATGATGTGAGCAGAAGGTAGCATTACTTTTCCTGTCTGAAGATGTTAGACCATTCTACCTGCCTCCTGACAGTTCCTGAGGCAAAGGAAAAGAGTAATTTCACTTTTGGCAATGACATTAGAAAGAGAAATGTTTGGTACAGAACTTTTCCCTAATGATTCCACAGTAAAATGACAGCTATTTGTACATTTAGAAATCTAATTGGATGTCCATTACACAGGTTGCAAGTTCTCATTCCACATCATAGCCAGGTGAAAATCTGACCCCTGTAAATGCAGATATAATTCCTGTGTCTTTTGTTTCCTCTATTGCTGTGCTCCAGGAGTGATTGAGCTGCCCATTTAAGAGAAAAAAATAGATGGGAGGAGGGGTAAGAAATGGGTTGGATGTTTATTTTTGGTGGATGATTATCATCCTACTCTGACAGATGAATTCTATTAGGTCACTGAGGTTTGTACTCCCAGATAATCCCTGTTTTCTGGGCAAGCACAAACAAAATGAAGCACAGGCAACAAGGATTAGGAATAATATGGAAGCTGCAAACTATCAAACCTGTTTATTACCCTTCTCAAATAAGACACAGAAGATCTCTGAAGGTACACAAGAAATTGACTCTCCTGTGAGAGCACCAAACAGAAGGAAACTTCTGCTCTTTTTGCTTAGAAAAGGTCTCGCTCTTTAAATACAGGACTCACTGGAGTGACACTCACCTAGAACACCCAAATTTTGACTTCATAGGCAGGTACTGTATCTTTTTACTTCTGGATTTGCTAGTTTAAATATACCAAAAGGACACTATAGTAATGTCATGCTTGTGTTCTAATAGCACCTTGTGATTTGGTGGGCTGTAGAGGAAAGCACCACGCATCAGTCACCAGAATAGAGAACTGTCATGAATTTGTATTCTACAACCTTACAGCCATATAGGGCATGTTTTTAAAGGCACTTTTGCATCCCACAGTCATCCATGGTCAGTACAAGAAATAACTTTTGCCAGCACTGGGTTTTCTCCTTGTTTGTCTTGGCTGAATCAAGGCTCCCAGCCTCTCGCTGAAAAATTACTTCTTTGGGGCAGACTCCAGGGTTAAATTACACAGTGTTTAATCCAACATTGTATTCACCTGACACAGTCATACTAGATAAGACTGTGACATACAGATCAGTTGATCAAAGACTTGTCTCGTTGTCTGGAGGTGATTTTTCCTCCCTTTGCAAGGGCTGGATAAGCAGTTCCAGGAGAGAGCAGCATTAACCACCACCTGCTCTGAAATGTCAATGGTCACTGTCACAGAAATGGAGAGACACCGAGCTAATTTCTTAGCAAGTTCAGTACAATACCATCCCTCCAGCTCAGGGGCAAAAGGAGGAGACCTTATGACACACTGGTGTTCATCTAAAGTCAGTTCTTCTTAGCATCAGGACTAGACATGCTCTTAGGAAAATTTCTCTGAGTTTGGAGAATTTAACCCAATGATCTTATTGTTATTCTTCCTTCCACTCTGCTTGCATTCTGCATTCACTTACAAAGCTGATGCTCTACATTCTCATGATGGCTTTCACTGCAGAGTCTTGAAGCATTTTACAAGCATTGGTGGATTAAGTTTCCCTCCATCTGAGGAGAGGATAGTAAGTTGTAATTATTGCAGTGTTATTTGGTTGATATCTCTCCATGACTGGAATAGTGTCACTTTAGATGCCTTAAAGCCCTGAGCAGGTTTATGATGCTGTGATTCTACAGATGGGGAAAACACAAAGAGATGTTTTCCCTGAACTGCTTCTTAAGCCACTGGGAACAGGGTGCAACCTGGCACATGCTGCCAAGCTCTGAATTTTAGGCCAGGCCCTCCCTCTTCCTGTAAGTGTTACAGAGAAAGGACATGTTCTGTGCAGTCTGAGAACACTTTTACCATTTAGTAAAAGAAAGGACAAAAAACAAACCAACCCAATCCATGACCAATTGGACACCTGGTTAAGATTTAGTGTTTATTCTGTCTCAAGAGCTGGTACTCAGACCTAAGAATGATTTCTGCTTTTGGATTGAACAGTATTCCTGGTCTATCATATCCTCTCTGAAAAGTTTCAAACCCACTTTTTGACTGGAGACTTAGCAAAGGTAGACCTTGTTGTGGCCTTTCAGTACTTGAGGGGAGCTTAAGGAAAAGATGGGGAGAGAATTTTTAACAGGGTTTGTTGTGATAGGTAATGGCTCTAAACTGAGAAAGGGTCAACTTACATTATATATGAGGAAGAAGGCTTCTATGAGAAAGGTGGCAAAATACAAGAACAGATTGCACAGAGAGGTTATAGATGCCCCATCCCTGGAAACATTCAAGGTCAGGTTGGTCAGGGGTCTGAGACAGCTGATCAAGCTGATATTCATTGCAGGGAAGTTGGACTAGATGGCCTTTAAATGTCCCCTAAAACCCAAAGTATTTCATCATTCCAAGAATCAGCCTTATAAAGAAGCTCATAAGACTGTTTCAAAAATAAATACAGCATAATCTTTTTTTTTTTTTTATATGAACATGTGAGTATCATGAGAGTTTGGATCTCACTGGAATATCTTTTCTTGCTCTTGTTTCAGGGTGTTCTTCACATTTTGCCTTTAAAAATCTGCTTTCTCTGCAGCTGCTTATTTTGTTTTGTTGCCATGTTGTAAAACACACCAGCTTTCATTACTTATCCTTTAAATTCTTTTAAACTCCTGCTCTCTAGCCTGAGAAGTCAGTAAAATTGTTGATTTCATCTCCTGGGTAATTTGGTTATTACTGAGTTGTGTTTTGTATTTCTTTCCTTCTTTATGTCTCTGAGAAACTAGAACATGATTTAACAAGATTAAAATCAATGAATGCCTGTTCAGAGACCAGTGCTTATTAGACTAGGTGTCATCTATCTTTCAGCTGGAAGTTTTGTGAATGTGTGAACCTCTATGGATACCCCTAAGATGCTAACATCTGCACAAAATGTTTCTGTGAAAGCTTTATATTTCTTTCTTTATTTCTTTTCCACTGAGTTTTCTGTTTGCTACTGAAATCTAGTTTTCAGCTGAGAGAAAGAGGGCAGCAAGTGAGAATGAATGTCAGTCTGACAAGAATTACATCACCCTGTGCTAACAGAAACCTCTGTGGTCTGCATGGGTATCTCTAAAGTCCTGAGCAATAAATCAAATCACAGAATCACAGAATGATTTGGATTGGAAGGAATGTAAAGATCATTTCACTCTGAACACCCTGCCATGGCCAGGGTCACCTTCCACCATCCCAGGTTGCTCAGAGTCCCTGGCCTTGAACACTTCCAGGGATGGGACATCCACAACTTCTCTGGGCAACCTGTGCTAGAGCCTCATCATCCTCAAGTAACATCATAGAATCAGAAAAACAGAGGGGAGAGGGAGAAGGAGAGGAGAGCTGTCATTAGTGTTTCATCTGACCATAAATTTATGAGTTAAGACATATTTCACTAATGGACAAAGTTGTTTAGATCTTGCAGTAGTAGAAGGTAAATTTGCTGATATCTCATGTTCAGGCTGTCTGTTAAAGGTATTTTCCATTTTTGCCTCATCTTCTATAGCAAGTATTATACCTTATTGAAGACATAGGTTTTATTATACATAAGATATTTTTCTGCTCATGTACCTTGTGATATTAACCAAGCTGAAGTTATTAGACAGTAAATTCATTCACTATTTAGATCCTTTTCCATTTTCACTCCTTACTTCGCAAGCAGGTTACGCAGGATTTTGGAATTGCTCTTCTATTTTGCTCTCAGGAAATTCTGGTTTGCATTCTTGTATTTCCATTTAAAATAACCTCTTCCTGAGCTGTTTCAGTAAAAAGCCTGAAGGGTTTATTCATTCCCATCAAATTACATTTATTTAAACTTTGAGCATAAAGAAAATACAAGCATAAATAGGGACCAAGCTGTCAACTTGACTCATCATTTACAGTTAACAGGATTAACTGAGTATAGAAACCAATGTGAAAAACATCTCAGAGTACTGCCACAGGATAACAGGACATATTTTTGTATTGACAACCTTCTCTCTTCTTGTCTCGCTCTCTCTCCATATAATTTTTGCTGTTTAATTAAGTAATATGGTGTTTCTTTAGCACTGTCTCAAATTAGGCACAGAGTATTTTCTTCCTTGCATGTTTCCATGACAGTATGGTGAAAGATTCTGATATACATAAGGGGAGATAGAGTTTCATGTCAGACACTTTTCAGATGGCAAGAAGTTCTCAGTACCCTTCACCTGTGGTAAGTGTGGCATAAAATCACAGCAGTAAAAGGAATTGCTGGAGCTGAAATCAGTTAATTGCATTGCTGTTGGTTAATAACCAAGTATTACCTGAGGTAACAAAGAGGGGTTATGTTTCGAACCATGCAATTTTACTTAAAACAAAGTATCTGGTTGAAATCAACAGAGGATATTCTGTGATTTTAATGGGTTTTGGCACCAAACCAGACCATTTTCAGCAGACATGATGCTCTGACATTGACTTTGTTTTACTGTAACTGCTTTTGCTTCAAAATATTTCTGTAAAGAAGAATGTGGGTTTCACCCCAAAAGTCCATTCTAGCACAGTATCCTTCTCTCTGAAAATGGTCTGTACCAGAATAGAAGATAAGAAAAATAGAAAATAAAGAGTTAATTGTTGCAGTGAAAGGGAAATTTGCAAATATGGAGACTAACAAAGCTCTCAGACACTCCTCATCATCTGATACTTTTCCTCCTCCCCAGGATCAGGCTCAGTCAGGTCTGCACCATACAGCCTGTATATATACCCATATAGGTGTATATACCTATATAGGTGTATGGATACTTTAAAAAGCAGCAGAAATAAGTCCAAATCATTGCTACATAAAATACCGTCCATTAGCAAATGCACAGATTATAGGTGTTCCTCTATTTTTAAACAAAACCTAAACGAGGCCGTGCTGGGTTTTTTTCTCTGCTTTGGAGGCTTAGTCAGAATTTGAATTGAATTGTGTCTGTGCACAAGGGTTGACAATACATTTTTTTCTTATGATTAAAAATCAAAACAACTTGCTTTCTTTTAATTAAAAAAAAAAATCACAACTAGCCTGCGTGCTTAGCCATATTTAATCACCGTGTTCCTTATTAGGACAGCAAATGACAGCGTGTTTGTGGCCAGATGGAGGAATTATGATGATATTCCTTCTAGCTCTCCCCACAGTTTCTCAGTGCCCCTTTGAGGAATTAATGTTTTTCTTGACTTATGACCTAGAATCTAGAAATTTCTCTACTGACTGCAGCAGTGATGTATATTCTTTGCCTTTGTTGGCTTACTAAAACTCAGATCACAGATGTCTTTAGGCAGTAAGTGGGGATGTACTCATTACCTGAAAAGAATGCAGAATGTCTGGAAGGCATAAAATGAGCTGTTAAATATCAGAAAACAGATATTTTCAAAGAGAAGCCTTTTATGAGAACATCTTAATTTTGGTGTCTGAATATGAAATCAGTGGGTAAAGGAAACTACCAGATGTGAAACATGTATGGGAATAACATGGTTTTACAGACTACAGACTGAAATTCCTCCCCTCCCAATCCAGATTAATTAACTCCCACATTCACACATTGTGTTGTCATTTGGAGGTACCTCAACGAGATGGAGAACTGGGCTGATGGAAGCACTGTAAATTTCAACAAAATAAAAGCAAAGTCCTTCTCCTGGAGGGGAACAACCCCCTGCAGCAATACCTGCTGAGAAAAGCTGCAAAGCAACCTTACAGAGAAGGTAAGGTAAGAACTTGCTGTCCTGAAATCTTGATGGACAGCAAGTGATCCAGAAATATGTCCTTGCCATAAAAGTGCCCAACAGTTTACTGAGCTGTATTAGGAAGAGCATGGTTTGCAAGTCAAAGTGCTGGTAAGAGCCACCAGGAGAAATGAGTGCAGGTGTGGACAAGAGAGACATGGACATACTGGAGGGAATCCAGTGCAAAAAAGATGAATGGACACGAGATCTCTCCTCTGAGGAAAGAATGAGAGGACTGGGGTTGTTCAGCCTGGAGAAGAGAAGGATGAGGGGATTCTTGTTCATGTTTATACATACCTGGAGGGAGCATGCAAAGAGGACAGAGGCAGGCTCTCTGCAGTTATACCCACTGAGAGGACCAGAGGAGCAAACACAGGAGGTTCCCTCTCAACATGAGGATACATTTTCTCCTGTGAGGGTGATTGCCACTGGCACAGATTGTCCAGGAAGTTGGTGGAATCTCCTTCCTTGGAAATACTAAAATGTGGTCTGAACACAGTCCTGGGCAAACTCTCTGTAGGTATTTCTGCTTTAAAAGGACCAGTTGACCTCCAGAGGTCATGTCCAACATTAGTGGTACTACACAATTTCATCACTGTAAAGAGTAGGATTTATTTTATTTTTTTTTATTATTCATTGTCTTAAGCATTTTCAGTTAACAAGAAAGGCTTTTCCTTATAACACTTTGAAACGGAAATCATATAAATTCTGGGCATTATTTTGTGCAGTCAGCTCATATTTTTGAATCATATAGAAATGTTTTAGCACACCATGTTTGTTTTTTTCCTCAAAAGTACAAACCTGGCAGTTCCTGCAGAAAAGGCTGTTCTTTATGTTCTCTCTTACTTTGACAATCTCTAGTTTTATTCTGATTGTGTACTTATTGCATTCTCAGTGACATCCTGCCTTACCATTAGAAAGTCCTTCTCTTGCAGAGGTATAGCCCTTTTCAAAAAGGTGGATCTTGTCATAGGCAGTTTTACAATACAGATAAAATTGCACACTCAAGAAAGCAGCAGGTTTAAAATAAATAGTTACAGGACTTAGCAACTGATCTATGAGGCTGCTTGTAAGGAGCAACAATAAGTACTGAGAACACTGGCAAATTAGAGAGCTGACTCTGAAATAAAAAAGGAACCACACAGGGTCCACTTGCTGGGGACTAGTGGGATTAGTCACTACAGCAGCTATGGCTACACTGGTGAGGAAAAAAAAATATCCAGATCTACAAAAATCACCTGGAAATCACAAAGACTCTTAGTATTTTCTCATCAATTGTAGTCATTTACAACTGGCACCACTGAGTCTCTGAATTAAAGAGATTATATTAACATCTTAACACTAATGATGTTTTATAATAAGGAATAAATTTAATCCCAGTTCTTAATGATGCTTTATATCAAGTGATAAATTTAAAGAAAGAAGTGTTAATTTACATTATGAATACTCTGAGGACATCTTTTTGAATGCACAAGAAACCATGATTTTACAAACAGAGAATCTTTCATTACATGCACAAAAAATTCTTGATTAAAAGAAGAGGTGAAAATGACTATTATAGTTTAATATGAAATATGATATGGAAAAAGAACCACTGCAATATAATGAATTCAAATGGAATATTCAATGCAGGCAGCTGATAAAGAAAACAAAACTATCACTGAAGTTTAAATGGCCCAGTAAAATCAAGGGTCATGGCCCAGTAAGTAGGTATGTTGCAATGGAGGTGAGCTCCTAAGTAATGTGTGCAGCCCCTGATACATTTGAATGGAAATATAAAAGATGGGGATGCACAACAAGGAAAAAAATTCAATATATATTTTGCTTTATGTAATGCTGTGAATAAAACAGAGACCATAGCATTGACAATAAAGGTGGGTAAAAGTAGCATTTGCTGAAATGCAAAATTTTTACAGCCTGAAGTTCTTCTCTCATAAAATCTATTTTGAGAAGTATCCTGATCAAGAAACAGTATCAAATACATAAATAAATAAGTAAACTGGAGTTGTGAGACTACTTGAGTGAAAAGAATACCAGCTTCATGTGTAAGATTAAGCAGGGAAGACAAATTTTGCAAAAATTAAAGAATGCTTTGCTTGATTTCAGTCCCAGAGAAAACTGTAGTGATCAAATGCTTATCCAATGCACAAAGCATCAAACCCCATGATTAATGTCTATCCATGTGGCTCATCAAATAAACATGTCATTTTTGTCATCATAGTATGACTGCTGAAAAAAATTTCTGTTAAAATCCAAGAAAGATTAGGTTTTTTTTCTATCCCAAGAGTAAAACAATTGGGATTCATTTACCTGGGAAAAAAAAAAGAAGTGTGAGAAAAATGTAGAAAAATTGAGTATTCTGTTAAGAAATATCTGGGGCTAAATATCAAGATTACAGAAAAATTTTAGGAAAAGGGAAAACACGCAACAAGATAGTACAATTAATTAAGCTAGAATTTAGAACAAAGTTTTTAATGTTAACAGTAATGAGGTTTTCATACATCAGGATAATTGTAGCAGTCAGGCAGATATCCTTTGTTTATAGAGCAGTCTGTAGAATGTATTACATAACATCATTGTTTGTGACAAAACAAAAGTGTTCTTCCATGACATGGAATGTCTCTTCCTGTTCTGTGCTGTTATAATTCATCCATCTGATCAAGATAAACATATTGATGTAGCACACTGGAATATCTGCAAGGCATTTGAGAGAGTACTACACAGTGTTTTACTTTCTATGGAACAAATAAAACATCAAATGGATTAATGTCACTTTTAGCAGCTGTTCAAGGGAAGTCATCCATGAACTGACCAATATATAATGCTTGTAGCAAAGTTTTTAATAATTATATCAGATGTTTACAGATAAATCTTGGAGGTATGAAAATAAGGTGAGATAAATAATGGAGACATGCTTCTTCAACAGGGTATTGTAAAGTAATTTACAATTGTTTCCCAGTGATCAGCTGCTCAATAATATGTGCAAGATCAGGAAATTCATGCTGAATTTACTTGATAAGGGATTTTAGAGTGGAAATGGTAAGTTGTATAAAAAAAACCCTTTTGTTCAACAAGAAAATATCATCTCAACATGCTGGCAGTGAAGTGCTGTAACAGAAAGAACTAATATCATCTTCAGAAGTACAAAAAAGCAGGACTGTCAAACAAAAATAAAGAAATTGCCTTGTCTCTGTACCAGATCTGTCAAGATTCCCAACAGTTCTGTGGAGCAGCCTCTTAAATGATGCAGAAAAATACTCATGAAAGAAGGATATTGTTAATGAGGCAAGTGCAGAGAAAAATTCATAGCAGTATTCAGTGAACAGTGAAACCAGTTTAAGTTTGTACATCCCTGAGATGAAAAAATACAAAAACAAACTAAAACAAAACAAAAACCAACAAAACAAACAAAAACAACAAAAAATAATCAGAAATTATAATGTGTGGTTTCCAAGAAATTAGAATAATCAGGCAGTGTAAGAGTTCAGAAAGAACAGCAAGGTCAGGACTGGTGCCAGGAGAGGTTTGAGTGCACTGATGATTGATGTGCACTGATACAGCCTTTTACCTCCACGTTGTCCTCAGTTAATTGGAGCTCTGTGAGCCCCTGGTGCGCACTGAAGTCACTCCTTGTGCTCTGCACTAAAATGATCCATTTTGTATCATTTCCTTATGAATTTTATCCCTCTATGATATAAAACCAATGTAGATGTATTCCCAAGGAAAATATGTCATATAAACAGGCTTTTCTTAGTTTCCTTTTATTTTAATATCTATAAATATATAGTTTGTGATTCATTACTAAAGGAGACCTCTAGCATAAATTAGCTGCAAGACTGTAGTTTCTGCAGCTCCTCTTTGGAATCCAGGCAACTCAAATGTAGGAATCTGCACTGTCTAAACATGACAAAGATGTATCTTAGTACAGATAATTAATCTTTCTTTCCAGGTTTTCATCTACAAACAGGACAAAACCACAAGATTTGAGGAATTGCAATTGGAACACTTCATGAATTTTATGCATGCAAGCATTAATACCAAGAATTCTGTATTATGAATATGTGAAATAAAACAGTATCTTTTGCAATATATGATCAATGGGTAAAAACTTTAAAGTATTTCTTAATATTTGAACTTTATATCCTTTTGATGAAGGTTAGGTGTTTTTCTTTACATTTGATGGTGTACTCTCATTTCTGGAACACAAAATATCTATATTTTTGTACTCAGGAGTCAAAGTCAATGGTCCTGTTTGATACCTGGAGTCTCTGCATCTCTTCCTCCACTTATTAATCTTGCAGAAGTTTTATATTTTATTGGGAAGCTCATATTTCTTACAGTTTTGGTTTAAAGCAACAGCTGCAGGCATTATTTGGGTTTCCATTGGTAAATGATGAAAGTCAGGGGAAAATATGTCTTATACAAAAGAAAATATAGTAGTTAGTGAGCTATGGTTTAGTTTTTTGGTTTGATTGGTTTTCCTTATCATCAAAGAGGGTGTGCATCCTATAAGTCAAAAAGTTTCCTTCAAATGCTTGACTTTTCATTATATTACGGTGATGATGGTATTAATAATAATAACAACCATAATGATTTGAAACTAGGGCTATGATTTCCACATGTTGAACTAACTAAGAGGCACTCTGAGATTTTCTTGGTTTGGACAAAGAACTATATTTTGGTTTGGATCTGTCCTGCAAGCCCTTCAGAATATACAGGGACCCAGTTCCTTCTTTTCTCTGTCTGTATAAGAAAGAGTAAATAACAGCCTATGATGTATCTGGACACTGGGATTTATTTTGGAAGGAGGTAAGAGTTTCTCCCTGCCTGATTTCCCAGATCACTCCCCCTCTCCCATAGCTCTGTGCTCACCAGATCTTGATTCTCCTTCCCTGCAGGGAGGTCACTGCTGGTCCATCAGGCTCAGAGAGGTCACATCAGTCCTTGCTGTGCTGCTGCCTGCAGTCACCAGCCACAGATGCTACTGGCTGAGCTTCCTGGGTGTCCTCAGAGACTCATCTCCATGTATCTCATTCATCTCCCAAACCTCTTCCCACTTCCAAGATATTTATTCCAACCTGGACCTTCACCTTCTTATTTCTGGAGCCTGTTTCTTTGCCCCTCTGCTTCTTTTCAGAGACACATCTTTCTGTCACCACTTTTTTCCAGCCCCTAAAAGCAAAATTCCAACATGTGAACTTCTAACTGGTGGTTGTGTCCCAACAAGTCCAAGACAATGGACTTTCTCATGTCCCAACAAGTTCAAGACAATATTGAAATCTGAACTTCCAAGAAATTTCCAAGAGGAAACCTGAACTGCAAGATATTGGATGTCTGAACTCAAAAGTTTCTTGCTGAGTGAGATCAGACTAAATGATAAAAATGACCTTAAAACCTGTTTATCTATGAACATACCAGATGTTATCTCACCAGGTGTCTTTCTTTCACGATGCAAGGTCTCAGAGAAGACAGCAGAAAATCAAATATCACATCATTCTCTGCTTTTTAGTTGCAACAATGTTTCCCATATTAATTCCATTTATTTATTTTTATCTATTATCAACTCCAGATTTTAAGTATTATGATTTGTATTTTCTCTTTTCTTAAATACTATTTTCCTTAATTGCCTTGCATTCTCCTAAAGTAAATATGTTTTTATTTTCTTTGCCTTCTTGCTTCTTCTTGGTGACTTCTTATATCATATATTTTATTTTTTTTGCCTTGCTGATCTCTTTGAGTCGCATTTCTCAGAAGTTCTGTTACAGCTTCAGTAAAAGAACTCTAGCACATCACTGTGGATGCTCACGAGCTTGTTCTGCAGATGCCTCAACCCTGGAAGGGCCAAAAAGGAGAGACACCCCTGTGGTTGTGGTGAGAAGAGCCTCCCCCCCATGAACCTTTGCAGACACATGTAAATAGTTCTCAAGGTTTGATGTTCTATTGGTTCACCAAATTGATGTAATCCCTGTTCCACCCCTGTTTGCCATTTGTGGTTAATCCTCAGAATGTTCTCCCTTCCCCTGATTCCTACTGGCCCCAGTTTGCTGCATTATTCCCCTCCCCATTGTCCTATTGGTTCCCCTTGTTGGCTGCCCCGCCTTTGCACCACTTTTTCATGTTCCCATTGGCCCTTGCATCAATCCCCATTTCCTGGTGTTTAACCTGTGCCCTGTGCCCTCAACCCAAATTTGTCTCTAGAGCCCCTTTGAAGCCCAATAAAGATTCTCAGATCTCTATACAAAGACTTGCCCCTCACCTGTTCCATCAGCAATTTTAGTAAGTGTGCTCTGCACCCCGAAAGCTCAGGTCACTCTCAGGAACATGTTGAAGTGCACTGCTTCCTATCACCAGTCTCCTAATCATGTTCTTAAGTTGGAACTAATTATTATGCAGTTTTCATATTCCTTTGGATGGTTTTCCACACAAAATTATGTTTATATAAGCTGATTTACTGTAAAATGTCCCATCAAAGAACTGAGGATTCTCAGAATAGTTGAATCTGGAATGGACCTTTAGAGATTGTCTGGTCTGACAATCCTGGACACGGCACACTAGGTCTGTGTCACTACAGTGGAGAGGCAATGTCATCTCCCATGACCTTCAGCAATGGCAAATTGTACCTGACCCATCTACTGTCCTCCCACGATCCCCCACGAGGGAGTGAATGCATCAGTGGACAGGGGAAGAAGTACTGATGCCACCTAGACTCTTGTATGGCCTTTGAAATGGTCCCAAACAACATTCTTGATACTTAAGTGGAGAGATAAGGATTTGATGGACGGACTTTTAGATGGATATTGAATTGGCTGGATGGCCATATCCAAAGTGCTGTGTCCATTCAGGGTCCCTGTTGGAATCAAAACTGCCTAATGTCTGCATCCACGACATAGTGGGATTGAGTCCAGTTTCTAACTGAAATGTGTTTGGTTAAATTCAGTGTTAGGAAGAAATCCTAATGATGAGAATGGAGAGGCTACACAACAGGTTGCCCAGAGAAATTGCTGATGTGCTATCCCTGGAAATGTTCGAGGTCAAGTTGGACTGGGTTTTAAACAACTTCATCTAGAGAAGGAAATTTCTGCCTGTGTCAGGTGAGTTGAGGCAGATGATCTTTAAGTTTCCCTTCCATCCCAAACCATTTTCTGACTCCATGATTTACTGGCAACACTCTCCCTAATGCAGCCCAGAGGGTGCCCGACCTTCTTTGCTGCCAGGACACACTGCTGAATTACACACAGCCTGCTGTCCCCAGGGATTTCTGGGACAATTTCTGCAAAGTCACCTTCTTGCTTTACTGGTGCACAGGGTTATTCTTCCCAGGGGCAGGATTTTGCACTCTGCCCATGCTGAGTTTCATGAGGTTTCTGCCAGCCCATTTCTCCAGCCTGCTCAGGCTCCTCCTGATGTCAGCTCAGCCCTCTGGTGTATCAGCCACTCCTTGTGGTGTTATATCCTCTGCCGGCTTGATTATATCACACTAATAATGAAGAGCTCAAACAGCACAGATCCCTGGGGTACCTCTTATAACTGGCCTCCAGGTGGATTCTGTGCAGCTAACCACAACCCTTTGCTCTTCTTTCACCTTTCAGAGCATCTCACCATTCACCTTGTCCTTATTTCATAGATTACCTAAGGAAGTTGAGTGACTGTGTGAAAAGCTTTGCTGAATTAAAGATAAAGAACTTCTACTTTTCCCCTCTTGCCCACCAGGACAGATCTTGTTGTAGAAATCTATCAGGCTGGTCAGTCGTGGTTTTACCTTCTTAAAACTGTGTTTAATATTCTCAATCACCTTCTTCCCCTTCATATATTTGGAAATGGTTTTTAGTGGGATTTGCTTCATCATCTTGCCAGAGGCTGAAATAAAGTTACAACTCAATATTCTACAGATCCTCCTTCTTGCTATTCTTCAGAATAGGAGTGGTATGTTTTTTTTTTACTTCCAATCCTCAGGAACCTGCCTTGATTGTAATAACCCTTAAAGACAATCAAGATTGGCTTTCTCATTGCATGAGCATTCTCTCCTCTTGTCTGAATTATTATATAAACCCTTCAGATGGGCCCCCAGTCATGACTATTTCCCTGATAGGAGAGCTTCCCTCACACTTAGGCCCTCTAGGCACTTCCTTCTTGCTGTGCATATGCTTGGGGTGGAGCCCCCTCAGCCCTGTTATTTTTTCCAAGGTCTCTCTATTCCACACCACTCTGCACACTTTGCTTGCCAACCCAGTCCATCCTTTCCTCACTTCTTGGTGTGTCATCATCTCCTCTATCTCATCATTTAAAATACTTTTGGATCACCTTGTTCTGCTCTCCACAGCAATTTAGCAGCTATTAGTTTTTGCTGCTTTGCTTAGTGCAGTTTATGAAGCACACTTTGCATTATGTGTGCAAAGTGTAGTCAAAATGTTTGATTTTTTTTTTTTTCTTATTGGACTATTGTTCTTAGAGCTTTCACATGCTGTCATCACATAAATGCAGCCATAGAGTGGGAAAAGGCAATAAGCCACTACATACCAGTTTTGAAAGTGACAGAATGGTGTTATTCTAGATAAAAAGTTTTGCTGACAATGATAAATAAGTATTCATCTGAAATCCCAGCCATTGCAATGTAGGAGGAACAAAATAATTTTCTAGCAAAGTACTATTTTCTTCATGACCCTTTCAACAACCATTGTAAAGTTTGTCCAGAAGTGTTTTATAAGCAATTTTTTTTTTCCAAATAAACCAGTGGCTATATCTCTGTTGATGTTTGGGGTGAGGGGACACATATCTAGTTAGTTGGGTACTTATTTTTACTATCACCCATAAAATAAGTAATGAATTGTACATCAAAAAAAACAGACCTCCAAAACCTGGAAGAAAAATAATATCACAATCTCTGCAGGAGAATTTTTTGTGTTTATTGGTTATTTTAGTTGTGTGGGGAACAAAGAAATAAACATGTCAAGATTCATCAGAAATTCTGCATTTATCTTTAAAAAATATACAATACAACACTCAGCACATCAAATCTGCTGGAATTTTATTTCATAATATTAAACTTTTGCAGAATCTGCTGCTTTAT